ATCGGTAGTGGTCCTAAAATAATTAATAAACAAACGAGACAATACAAGTAAAACAATTATATTATTTAATTAATATGTAATTAAAGTTTTTAATAGATCAACATTAATATCTTAAATAAAATAAATATAATTATTTAATTATAAAGTAGAAAATATCAATCAAATTATGTAAAAAAAAAAGCACAATACACATAATATAATTATAGTATTTAATAAATTATGATTAACATAGTAAATAAAATCGGGTGTCATCTTGTGGACTTAAATGAATGAATCTCGAGTTTTGGGACCTAAATGCTCATTGTACAAAATTTGGAGGACCAGATTACTATTTTACCATTGAAGAAATTGCAAAAGAGCCAAAGAGGACAGAAACTCGACGTGGGTGTGATGTCGACACATAATTTTGGTGTCGACACCATACGGTAAGCATCCAGAATTAAAGTTTCTGTTTCCTATTCTATGTCGATAGAGTGTATGTTGAAATTTTTTAACAACTTGGAGGTGTTCCTGTATTAATATAGCAAGAAGGGCTGTTCGACTCTTGTAAATTTATGCCTTTCAAGTTGGGATGTTTATGGATTTGAGTAGCTCTTGTACTCTGCTTTTTAATAAATGTTATTTTTTACTGTTCAAAAAATATAATAAATAAAATAAACATAATGATAGTGATATAAATCAACAAATAGCATAATAATTGAAATAATAAATAAAGAATAAAACTCATAATAAATTTAAAGCATTGAAAAAAAAAAAAAAGAATTCATATTCAGATCACTATTGGTTTGAATAACTTTTTCGGACCGGTAGTATAGTGGTCCAAAAATATTAGGAAAAAAAAGGAAATACAAGTATAATAATTATATTATTTAATTAGTATGTAATTAAAGTTTTTAATAGATCAATATTAACATTTTAAATGAAATAAATATACTTATATAATTATAAAGTAGAAAATATCAACTAAATTATATTAAAAAAATAGAATACACATAATATAATTATAGTATTTAATAAATTAAGATTAACATATTAAATAAAATAAATATAATTAAGACAATACAAGACATGCAAAATAAAATAAATATACTTATAGTGACATAAACTAA